GATTGTTTGGTGTTTTGGAGACTAGCTTCTTGGGTTCTTTGAATATTTTGGAGATAAGCCCTCTGTCAGATGTGGGGTTGGTGAGTATCTTTTCCCAGTCTGGGGGCTGCTATTTTGTCTTGCTGACTGTGTCCTTTGCCTTCAGAAGCTTCTCAGTTTCAGGAGGTCCCATTTAACAATTGTTGATCTCAGTGTCTGTGCTACTGGTGTAATGTTCAGGAAGCGGTCTCCTGTACTGATTAATTCAAGGGTATTTCCCACTTTGTCTTCTAATAGGTTCAGTGTGGCTAGATTTATGTTGAGGTCTTTGATCCATTTTGACTTAAGTTTTGTGCATGGTGATAGATAAGGATCTATCTGCAGTCTTCTACATGAAATCTACCACAAGATCCAGCAATTCCACTCTTAGGTATATACCCAAAAGAAACACATTCATACAACAAGGACATCTGTTGAACCATGTTCAGAGCAGCATTATTTGTAATAGCCAGAAACTGGAAGCAACCTAGATGCCCCTCAACTGAAGAATGGATGGAGAAAATGTGGTACATTTACACAATGGAGTACTAATCAACTTGAAAAACAATGGAATCTTGAAATTCGCAGGGAAATGGATGGAACTAGAAGAAACCATACTGAGTGAGGTAACCCAGTTGCAGAAAGACAAACATGGCATGTACTCACTCATATATGGATTTTAGATCTAGAGCAAAGAAGTAGCAGCCTACAATCCATACCGCCAGAGAAGCTAGGAAACAAGGAGGACCCTAAGAGAGACATACGTGGGCCCCCGGAGAAAGGGAAAGGGACAATTTCTCTTAAGCTAATGGGGAGCATGGGGGAAGGGGAGAGGGAGTTAGAAGAAAGAGAAGGGGAGAAGAGGAGGGGAGAGGAGGACATGAGGGAACAGGAAGATCTAGTCAGGGGAAGAGTAGAGGAGAGCAAGAAAAGAGATACCATCATAGAGGGAGCCATTATAGGTTTAAAGAGAATACTGGCACTAGGGAAATGTCCAGAGATCTACAAGGTTGACCCCTACTAACAATCTAAGCAATAGTCGAGAGGCTACCTTAAATGTCCTTCCCCTATAATGAGATTGATGACTGCCTTATATGCCATCCTAGAGCCTTCATCAGTAGCTGATGGAAGCAGAAGCAGAGACCCACAGCTAAACACTGAGCTGAACTCTGGAATCCAGTTGCCGAGTGGGAGGAGTGATGAGCAAAGGGGTCGAGACAAGGCTGGAGAAACCCACAGAAACAGCTGACCTGTTGGGAAACCAGCATAGGACTGTTCCAGACCCCCTGAAGGAGGAAGTCAGTTCGGATGTCTGGACAATTTATGGGGCCACTAGTAGTGGATCAGTATTTACCCCTAGTACACAAATGA